CAGGTCAAAGCTTTTTGAATTCTTAATATTTAAAGCTTAATAAGAATAATCAGACTGTCTGAAATTTTAAAGACACCTTTTAGGAAACCCAAAGTCTGGACTGTTGTACATAACTAAATTAAGTTTATTCAATGGTGTAATATTACTATTAAACTCCTGATGTTGGTTGCTGTTCAGACCTTGTTAACTTTAGCCCTGATTCTGCATCTGACCATTTTCCTTTTCCCCTAACTCACCCATCCATCATAAAAGTCTGTTTGAGCCTCAAACTTTTTACACCCATATGGGCTTTTTATATGTTTTAAGAGGCAAATAGATGTCTCTTGTAACAGACAATGAATGCACTGATTTTGCAAATGCCCTATTGTCACGCCACACAAAGTTAAGGTCTTGTGTGTTCGGGCAGATAGGACTAAGGCTTGGTCTAGATAGCACTTTGGCGGGTAAGCTCAAAGCTGCGGCGAGCCCATACCCGACCAATATAGCTTTCACTGAGAAAAGTGCCATGTCTGACATAGGTACCGCCACTCATGGGGGGTGGTTTAACTAGGCCAGCTCTCTCACCTTGGCATAGAGTGGGTACATAGGAGACCTTACAGCGGGACAGCTGCAGTGGTACAGCTCTGCTGTTGTAAGGTCCTTAGTGTAGACCAGCAGTCTCAAACTGTGGATCCCAAAGCTGGCTTTAGCGTTGTTGGGGCCTGAGGCCCCAAGCCCCACCACCTGGGGTAGAAGCCGAATCTCAAGGGCTTCAGCCCTGGGTGTTGGGGGCTCATCGCCTGGGGCAGCAGGGCTCAGGTTTCGGTCATCCCCTCCCATGTAAATTTTTGTTGTCAGAAGGGGTTGGGGTGCAATAAAGTTTGAGAACTCCTGGTGTAAACATAGCCTGATGCACAATTCCCACCCACTCACCCCCCAGCACAGTATCTCCTATTTACTGGTAGGAGGTACACAAGAAGTGCTGCTGAAGCAGTCACTTTCAGTATTAGTTTCCATCCCACCACTCAAGAGACTCTGAACAATGGTTCCGAGCCTCCTCTGTAATTGTACTAGGGTTCCAGCCTTTCTTCCAGTCAGTCAACTGTGTTTAGGGGGAAGCTAGAATCTCAGGGCATGCTAAGTTGCGTAAGCAGCCAGCCAGTGTGCTATACAGTTGAACCAGAGATGGGCAACAGCAGAGCACCGAACTTAAGATAAGGGAGTGTTACCAGTCAGGGGGAGAAGAGTTAACTAAGTACCAATGGCTGACAATCCAGAAACTAGAAAGTCATCAAAAACCCAAGGTATTTCACAATTGGCATATTTCACCACTTTAAGCAACAACGTTTAGGGGTTCCAGTTAGTTTCTGCATTATGGAGTCGTTTCACAATATTTATGCTAATGACTAACTACATACATGAAGTAATGACTGGAATTAATATTTCCACCACAATGAACTCTTAAACATGTAGCCTTCTATACTGACCCCCAAGCAAATGCTACTGCATATTTTTAAAGCATGCAGTAAGTATACTGAATAATGGCAGGCGTGTTGAACGACCAGCCCGCTTCTAAAAATGCAGAAAATAAACGCAATGAGGGATAACAAAGACAGCTGAACTCTACGGGCCTCTTTACCCCCCCGCCATTCTCCGCATGGGCGGACACAACCCAGCAGACTGGCGACTCTCGCTTTACTCTATCTAGGGCTCCCGATTGCACCCGAAACTATCCCCAAATGCGTGACTAAAGCTCAGCTTGGGAGTTAGGCATCTCAACAGGCGGGGAGAAGCGCGGGAGAGGGCGGGGGGGGAGCGAAGCGGCTTTTGCACATCCCCGATTCCAGGCACGGCCTAGGCCGCAGCGGAAGCCGCGCTCCATTACCGCGGCGGCCTGTCGGGCCTAGCGCCGAGACAGGGCCGTGATCGGGGCCCATCCGCCGCAATCGGGGGCAGGGGCTGACCCAGACCGCCCGGGGGGGTCCCTTCACACGGGGGGGGACGTTCCCCAGCGGGCTGCCCCACTCTTTTGTGCGCCACGAGGCGGGGAGGGGGGAGAAGGAGAAGGCCGCGGCCCCCAGGGCCTCCAACCCGCCACTTCCGGGCTCGCGCGGCCTGCGCGGCACCCCAGGCGGGGCCGATCCCCGCGCGGCCGCCCCTCGGAACGTTCTGGAACCCGCGGCGCGCGCTGACCAGCGGATACTCACCCAGGCCGGGAATCTCTCCCTCGGTCTCCTCGCTGCGGAGAGGGTCCATCTTGCCCACGCGCTCACAGGGGCTCGCGGATTAAAAAAAAAAAACTCGGCAGGGGGAAGGCTCGGTCGCTAGACAACGAAGACAGAGAGCGTCAGGCTACCCCCCACTAACGGCCTCCTCGGCGCTCACACTTCCCCCCCCCCCTTTTTTTTTTTTTTTTGTTTTGTTTAAAGTAGAACTCGGTTTCTCTCCCGACCCAGCCCCAACCGCTCTTCTCCTTCCACAGGCGGGCGGCGTCTGGGCAGCGTTATAAATAGCGGATTACCGAGTTGCCGGATTGTGACGTCAGATTAAATAACCCCGCCCCTCTCCCGCGCGGCCAATCAGTGGGTGGCCAATGCGGCGGCTCAGTACGGCCGAGAGGCCAAACGCAGGCCCTGGTGTAAAGTGGCGGCAGCCCCCCCTCCCCCCTCCCAGAAGCCAGCCAAGCTCACAGGGTGAAATTCAGCCGCGCCAGCGCGCGCTGCCGCCGTGGAAGGGGCCGGGCTCTGCAGAGAGCCACTAACCTACGCGGGGAAGTGGCAAGAAAAGCGCCACGGAAGGGGGAGGGGAAGCCGGGGGAGGGCAGCGAGGCGGCTTTAGCGCCCAGCCGTTGGTGTCGGAGCTGGCAGGCGGGCCTCCGAGCCGCGCTCGGCACGTCCCTGAGAAGCCGCGCTCGGCACAGGAGCGTTAGTAACCGCAGTCCCCCTCACACACACACACACACCATGGCAGGGGCGTCTGTGAAAGGTTTCCACGTAGCCCGGGCAATAACCAGTCACGAACACGGGGGGGGGGTCACTCGGTGAAATTTTTCCATGGAGAAAATGTGAGTTTGAAGGAGGCAGCTCCTGCCCCTTGCCCCCCCCCCGCCTCCGCCGCCGGCCCCCCCACAGAGCAGCAAGCCCCCCAAAGCCCTGCCCGGAACGTCGGCAGCGAGACCCACGCGTGAACGAATCCCCCGCAAACCTTACAGCGCGGTGCGACAGAGGTACTCGGTCCCGCAGGAGGAGCGGCGACTCCCCACCAAGGCGGGATATATAACCGGGAGGGCAAAGATCCACTATGGCTGCAATCGTTCCGGGGAAAGCGGCTGCGTCATGTGCTTTCTGGCTCCGCCTTCTGGCTTCCAGTGGCTTTGGCTAATACCCTATTGCATCGACTGAGGAACGTGGAGGCCTGTGAAAACAGCGGCGGGGCGGGGGGGAGAAGACAGTCTGGCGGCCTCCACTAATAACGGCGGCTCCATCGGAGGAGAGGGAATGGAAGCCACTCTCAGTCTCAGGAACCAGCCGCAAAAAAAGTTAAAAGTAACGGAATACTCCTATGTAAGCAAGTGCCACAAAATTGTCTCGCACGCGCAAATGGGAGGTGGGCTGCGCTTTTGGGGGGGGAGGGGGTGCCCGATTGCAAATGGGAGGCGTAATGTGGGCCGGCATGAATGTAAATGAGGGAGGAAGGGTAGAGGCGGCTCACAATGAATTGGATTAAGATGTAGCCCACGCCATGGGGAAATGCATTGTTTGTATTTATAGTATGATGGCAGCCACCGGCTGCAACCAGAATCGGGGCCCTGATTTGCCAGGCATTGGTCATACAGAAAGGTAGATGTGGTCTCGATCCTGCAGAGATTGCATGGGATGTAAATCAGTGGTTTATTTGGTCCCTGAGTCTGTGATGCTAAAGCAGAACGTTACAAATATTTTATTCTTAGAATCCGGTGAGGCAGCTGTGCTAAAATTGGCGACCGACAGCTTGTCATTTAGGGGCAGCAGGCAGGTCCGCTACACTGGGTGAGACTACCTTCATCAGAGAGAAAGAGAGAGGATCATGGAGCCCTGGTTTGGAGGGGGGTCCCTGTTCTCTGCTGCATTGTAGGGGGATTTAGAGGTGGGGCGGGCTTATCTGCCATTACACAGACTCACTGGCCATTCTTCTCCTCGTGCAACAGACAGACAAAGCAACACAAAGGCAAATGGATCCCTGAATCTGGAGTATAGCCACAGGGTGGTCTGGAGGGAGAGCTCCAAGGGAACTCTCCATCTTACTGCCAGGCTGCTCAAACTGCACCGAAGATAGTAATTTGGCCTCTTTTTTATATATATATATTACAGTGGACCTGCTACAGTCTCGTGAAAATACCTCTGAACTCAGAATACTACAAGGGTTTTTTTGATTCTGAAATAATTCTGCTTGGGTCTTGATAACACCCAGCAGATCCTGAGGGAGAAGAGATGATACCACTGACGCAGATCATCCACAGGTGATTCAGCCTGAAGAGTATCATAAAGGCTGTGCTCCCACTTCTAGGGAATCCTCATCACCTTATGTCAAGTATCAGGAGGTAGCCGTGTTAGTCTGTATCTACAAAAACAACAAGGAGTCTGGTGGCACCTTAAAGACTAACTGATTTATTTGGGCATAAGCTTTCGTGAGTAAAAACCTCACTTCTTCGGATGCAACCTTATCACCTTAGTACCTCACCATCTTAAAAAGACTGTATTTATCCTTACAACCCCACTGAGAGGAAGGGAGGTATCACCCCCATTTACATTTGGAGAACTGAGAGACTAGGCAACTTGACCAAGGTTATCATGCACAGGAAGCCCCTGGCAGAGTAGAAAATTGAACATAGGTCTCTTGAGTCTTAAGCACCTTAACCACTGGATCCAGGGCTGCCTGGGGGGGGGCAAATGGGGCAATTTGCCCCAGGCCCCACAGGGGCCCCCACGAGAATATACTATTCTATAGTATTGCAACTTTTTTTTATGGAAGGGGCCCCCGAAATTGCTTTGCCCCAGGCCCCCTGAATCCTCTGGGCGGCCCTGACTGGATCATCCTTCCTCTCTATCTGCCATCTGTTTTGCAACTGTAGTATTGAGGTAATGATATTTCCTTTAACGTTTTTTGAGATCTGTAGATGAACAGCACCATAAAAGTGCTAAGTTTTATTATTTTATTCTACTGTTAGTTAAAAGTGATTTTAAGTTCAAGAATATTCTTAAATCCCAACTTCTGCATTTGAATAATGGGTAAAACTGCTTTTCTGTTGTTTATATGACACAATCCATGAACAGTCAGGTTTGGTTTTGAAGTGTAATGAACTGTACTGACTGATTTCTTGCTGTCTAATTGGGAGTCATAAAATAAATTCTAATTTACTTAATACATACAATTAAAGCAAAAATCACTCTACAAGTTAATTTGATTCAGGAATTTTTTAGACTTCTGGAACCAAGCAAGTGTAAACTCCCTGGTCTTGCATCCAAGGTTCCTGCTAGGACTTAAGCATCAACACCTTATTTGGCTTCTTCATCTTGGTATGCCGTGTAGGGATGTCCATCTTTTTCTCCACCATGTGCAGTCGGGCCGTGGTCTCTGTCAGCATGTCCATCAGCAGCTCGAGCTGCAGCTTCAGGTAATTGTTCTCCTCCAAGAGAGCCTTGTTCTCCTTCTTCATTACTTTACAGGACTGCTCCCGGTCATGGGAGGAGAATAACTGCAGCAGTGGCGGCCGATGAGAGAGGCCACTCTCACCTTGCCATTTGCCATCCTGGAAGACAAACTTGGCATCACTCAGCTGAGCCCGCGGAGGGCCGTAATCCAAACCCAGTTCAGCCTGCCGGGTTCTGTGGTCCAGGAGGTAGAAAGTGGAAATGGAGGTGATTCGGCGAAGGGGAGGCCTCTTAGGTAGAAATCTGCGTGAGAAATGGTCTGCCCAATAGTCACGCAGCTCCTGCATTATGTTAGCGATGGTATTCATGGTGAGGCAGGATGAAAGCAGGAAGATCAGTCAAGAAACCTATAGCAGAAAGTTGTGGAATACAAATCCAACCTGCAGCGTGAGTTACAAAACTGAGAGGACAGACAGGACATCACTGAATTAGAACCAGTAGCTAAAACTTAGGCTCTAGAGTCTGCCATCTGGCCAAAGTCTAGGGTGTCTAGGGTAATCATAAAATTATATCTGCCAGCTTTTTATTTATCTCTTTACTGAGCGTGAAAATCATACAGAAACCATGGAGCTTTGGTGCACAGGTTGAGTAGGCGTCCAAGCATGTGGTTTTCATATTCATGGATTTATAGATTCCAAGGCCAAAAAGGACCATTGTGATCATCTCATCTGATCTCCTGTATAACACAGGTCATAGAACTTTCCCAAAATAATTCCTAAAGCACATATTTTAGAAAACATCCAATCTTGATTTAAAAATTGTGAATGATGGGGAATCCACCACCACCCTTGGTAAATTGTTCCAGTAGTTAATTACTCTCACCATTAAAAATGTATACCTTATTTCCAGTCTGAATTTGTCTAGCTTCAACTTTCAACCATTGAATCGTGTTATACCTTTGTCTGCTAGACTGCAGAGCATGGGTGGCGGGTATAATAGGCCTGGGAAGCTCTGCCTCCCCTGGTGCTGCCACGGCTGCTGGGCCACCCGCTTGCAGGTTGCCCCAGAACCTGCATGAGGCATATCAAAAGCATCTTAACGGACGTTTTCTCCTGTGGGGGTTGGGTCCAGGGAGGAGAGGCATGGCAAGGCTTTGGCCAGCCGAGGGGGGAGGGTGCGCTCCGGGCTGCAGACGGGGGGATGGGGCTTGTGGCTCCTGCTGGGGGGGGGCGCGGAAGGAACAGAGCTGGGGGCCGAAGGGGGGCTTCATCCATCGCTCATGCTGCAGAGCCCATTATTAAATATTTGTTCCCCATGTAGGCATTTACAGACTGTAATCAAGTCGCCCCTTAACCTTCTTTTTGTTAAGCTGAATAGATTGAGCTCGAGTCTATCATTGTATGGCATGTTTTTTAATCTTTTAATTATTCTCATGGCTCTTCTCTGAACCCTCCCCAATTTTATCAATTTGAATTTTGGGCATCAGAACTGGACCCAATATTCCAACAGCTTTCATCAGTGCAAAATGTAGATGTAAAATAACCTCTCTGCTCCTACTCAAAATTCCCCAGTTTATGTGTTCCAAGATCGCATTAGCCCTTTTGACCTAATGGGAGTTTATGATCAGCTGATTATCTACCACAATCCCCAAATCTTTTTCAGAGTCACTGTAAGTATATAAGTATGACCTCACTCTTTGTTCCTAAATGTATACATTTACATTTAGCCATATTAAAACACATATTGTTTATCTGGTAAAGTTTGCAGATGATACAAAAATTGGGGGAGTCGCAAATAATGAAGAGGACAGGTCCTTGATACAGAAATAAGCACATATTGTTTATTTGCGACCTGTCCTCTTCATTATTTGCGACTCCCCAATTTTTGTATCATCTGCAAACTTTATCAGTGATGATTCTATATTTACTTTGAGGTCTTTGAGAAAAACGTTAAATAGTATAGGGCCAAGAACTGATTCCTGTGGGACCCCACTGGGAACATACCCACTCGATAACGATTCCGCATTTACAGTTACATTTTGAGACCTATCAGTTAGCCAGTTTTTAATCCCCTTAATGTGTGCCATGTTAATTTTATATCATTGTAGTTTTTTAAACAAAATTTCATGCAGTACCAATTCGGATGTTTTACAGAAGTCTATTTATGTCTACACTGTTACCTTTATCAACCAAATATGTCATCTCATTTTAAAAAAAATATCAGATTAGTTTGATAAGGTCTATTTTCCATAAACCCATGTTGATTTGCATTAATTACATTACCCTTTTTTAATTCTTTATTAATCGAGTCCCATATCTGCTGCTCCATTATCTTCCCTGGGATTGATGTCATTCTGCCCGGTCTATAATTTACCCTTTTTAAATATTAGCACATTAGCTTTTTTTCTAGTCTTCTGGAACTTTCCCAGAACTCCAGGACTTATTGAAAATCAACATTAATTGCAAGCTCCACAGCCAGCTCTTTTAAAACTGTTGGATGCAAGTTATCTGGACCCGCTAATTTTAAAATGTTTAACTTTAGTAGTGTCTGCTTAACATCATCCAGAGATAATAGCAAAATGAAAATAGTGTTATCATCATCATATGATGAGACTATATCATCTGTTTTTCCCCAAATACAGAACAGAAATATTCATTGAACATTTCTTCCTTTTCTGCATTATTATTGATAATTTTACCATATCCATCCATCAATATCATTGTCAGGATTCTTTTAAGTTCCTAAAATAGTGGGGGGGGAAACTCCTTATTGTCCTTAACTCTGCTGGCCATAGATTTCTCCTTATCATAGAATCATAGAATATCAGGGTTGGAAGGGACCTCAGGAGGTCATCTAGTCCAAACCCCTGCTCAAAGCATTGCGTCCCTTTGCTTCCCTTATCAGTTTTCTACAATTCCTAACTTCTGATTTATATTCATTACTATCCACTCCCCTTTCTTCCATTTGTTATATATCATTTTTATAGCTGCCTTCACTTCCCCACTGAACCAGGTCTTTATTTTTTATTTTTATTTTTTAGGGCTTGGCTACACTTGCAAGTTAGTGCGCAAAAAGGAGCCCCGTGCGCACTAGCTCACTCCCTGTCTACACTGGCAAGGCATGTAGAGCACTCTGACTCCGCAGCTAGAGCACGCCTGGTACTCCACCTCATTGAGAGGAATAATGTTTGCTGCGCCTTGGCTACAACACCCGGGCGTCAGTGTGAACGAGGTGTTGCGTTACTGCGCTCAGATCGGCCTCCGGAAAGTCCCATAATCCCCTTAAGTCAAGTGGCCACTCTTGTCATTGTTTTGAACTCCTGTAGGAATGCGGAAATGCCCTTTCAAAGCTTCGTTTCTGACAGCCGGCATGCAAGCCGTTACTGTGGAATGCTGTGGGGGGGGGGGGAGGGGGGAGGTCTGCTGCTGTCTGAACTTACAAGACACCATGCTGACATGCTCTCTCCCCCCACATACACACAACACACTCCCTGTCACTCTCCGCCCCACCTCCCATTTGAAAAGCACATTGCAGCCACTTGCAAGCTGGGATAGTTACCACAGTGCACTGCTCTCTGTGGCTGTTGCAAGAGCTGTTAATGTGGCAACGCCAGTGCACTGGCAGCTGTCAGTGTGGACAGACTACAGCGCTTTCCCTACTGTGCTCTACGAAGGCTGGTTTAACTCAAAACACTTTACATCTGCAAGTGTAGCCATGCCCTTAACCAGTATGGCCTTCTTCCTCGATTGTGAGATTGTGGCTTTTGGGGCAACTAGTAAGATGCTCTTAAATGATTCCCAATTATCATTCACAGTTTTCTGATTAACTTCTTCTTTCCAGCTCATTTGGCTCATAATTGTTTTCAGCTTTGTGCAATTGACCCTATTAAAGCTCTAAATGTATATATTAGTGGTCTGGACTTTATTCTGCTTGCAGACTATAACTGTGATCAAGTCATGATCACTTGTACCTAAGCTACCATTCATTTTTATTGTTATGATCAATTCCTTTTTATTTTTTAAGACAAGGTCTAATATAGAATTCCCCCATGTTGGCTGCGACACTTTTTGAGTTAGTAAATTGTCCTCTATAATATTTAAAAATTTCAAGAATGTTTTAGTACTGGCAGCATTTGGTCCATATGGTAAGTATTACACAGACTGCACCTTGAAGTTAGAAATCACATGCTCAGATAACCCCCCCACACTGGCCTCTAACATCCACAGACAGAGGGAATCCTCCATCTGTGGATCTCCCCCCATCAATGCGGAAGCAAGGGTCAGTATAAGTGGCATTGCCCCCCTCTCCTCTGGAGCTAACAGAGGATGCTCTGCAGGTTTTCACTGAGGAAGGGAAAGAGGCATGTGTGGTTGGGAGACAACAACATGCATCATCCATCCTCTATCTTTGTGGTGATTGCCTGGGAAAGATAATACAGCATGAGGCTGTACTAGCTTTTCCATGAAGTTTCTCCATTTCCCAGAGTCGCAGAGGCAACCGCTGTGAGGTGGAGATCCCTGGGACCATGGCTGCAGGGAAGCCGTACTGCCAGGAAACTGGGGACCAGAGAAGCAGTGCTGAGTAAGCCGGGCATCTGAGCAAATACCCCTGGCCTGCCCCAGACACTTGGAGATCCATCACTTTCAGGGGAAGGCCCCATGGTGGAAGGACGAGGAGGATATGCCTTGCTGCGGATGGAAAAATCGCATCAGAACTTGATGGGGAATCTTCGCAGCTATTTCCTCTCTCTAGGGTTTCCCATGGAAGAGGGAGTGTCTGGCCCAGGACATGGTTATTAATAGCATCGCCAGCTTTGGGGGGAGGGATAGCTCAGTGGTTTGAGCATTGGCCTGCTAAACCTAGGGTTGTGAGTTCAATCTTTGAGGGGGCTATTTAGGGATCTGGGGCAAAAATCTGTCTGGGGATTGGTCCTGCTTTGAGCAGGGGGTTAGACTAGATGACCTCCTGAGGTCCCTTCCAACCCTGATATTCTATGATTCTTTACCCCTCTCTTATTTGAAGGTCAAACAAAGTCAGTATAAAACAAGAAATGAAAAAAAATCTCACTGCCAGGCTGTCAGACTAGGGTTGTCTTGCATGAACCAGCAGCTCTAGCAAATCAAGGCCATTCTAGAAGTAATAAAGTATGGTTGTGTGTAAATCCACCACCTGATCCTCTTCTAACTCCCTCCTTAAAACCTGCCTCTGCCATGATGCCTTCACATCGCTGCCCCGTGGCATTGACTGGGAAAAGGGCGAGCCCAGACTGCTATTTTTCTACTAAACCCTGTTAATTTTATTACCTTATCTTTCCACCCCATCCCCACTCTGTCTGTTTTGTCCATCTGTTCCACCCTGTCTGACACCTAGACTGTAAGCATTCTGGGGGAGTGACTATCTCTCTGTACAGTGCCTGGCACAATGGAGCTCTGATCCTGGCCTGGGAATCCTCTGCGCTACTGTAATACAAATAATACATAATGTGTCAGCAACCACCCTTTTGGGGAGGAGGAGAATCAGTTGATTTTTGAACACTGATCAGTCAGTGTTCAAAAATCTGCTCCTTTAAAAGATGATGGGATTCATTATCTGTTGCCCCCCTTCCCTTTATGTCTTCCTTACAGAGCTTGTACCAATTGACATTCACACCTCAGTTATGAGAATCATCCCACCACGTTTCAGCTGTGTGCACTAGGTGGTTCTCCTCATTGCTGGGCATCACTTCTAGATTGTGTTGCTTGTTCC